AGCCCTTCTTAGTATTAATAGTAGTTGTAATGGCTATTGTTATCAGGTCGTGTGAATGTGTGTGCCTGCCCCCCTCGGGGGGGGGGGGGACATCCGGAGTACTGCAGTATTGTAGTATTCCTTATTCCCTTGGGACAGAGTCTCTCTCTCACTGAACCTGGAGTTGGGCTGGCGTCAGCAGGCCCAGGGATTCTCTTGCCCCTATCTTCCACATTGCTAGGACTACTGGTACGTATGCAGCCATGCCTAGCTTCTCATGTGGGTGCTGAGGATTCAAACACAAGGCCTCAGGCTCACTCAGCAAGTTTTCACCCACTAAGCCGAGTCCCCAATCCCTCTTGCTGTTTTCTGTATCTTTTATCTGGAGCTTACATCTTTCAAATAGAAATGGATTTTCCCCTGAATCTTTCAGGTTTGATGGTCACGTGACTCTCAAAGTTTCCCTGAGAGCTCGTTTGCTTTTTGTTTGTTTTTTTGTTTTTTGAAGCGGAGTCCTACACTGTAGCTCAGGTTGGCCTGGAACTCTCTGGGTAGTCAGGTTAGCCTCAAACTCATAGCAATCTTCCTGCTTTAGCCTTCCGAGCGCCGGGATTACACTCGTTAGCCCTTATGCCTGGCTGGCTTGCTGGTTTGGGGATTTTCTGGGTGATTTGGAGTTCTTCGCTTTCTTCTCAACCATTCCTCTCATTTTCTGACTGCTTGGCTCAGAACTCCACTGTGGGGTACATTAACATTCTACGGGCTTCTGTGGCGATTGGCCACAAACAGTATCTTAGAACAACGTATTCACAACAGGCATGATGTCGTGTGCTGAGAAATCCAGCATTTGGAGGCAGAGGTGGGAGGATTGCAGCAAATACTGGACTATGTGTGGGTTCCAGACCATCTAGGGCTACAAACCACTACCAACACACACACACACACACACACACACACAATCTTGCAGTTAAGGCAGTCACTCTGAAGTGGGATCCACTGAACTAATTGAAGAGCCCACAGTGCTGTGTCGTCTCTTGGGGTTCTGGAGCAGAAGGCCTTTTCTTCTCCAACTCTTAGGGGCTTCATGTGGTCCTTGTCTCATGGCCCCTTCCTCTCCAAGCCAGCCACAATTATGTGAATCTCTCCCACGGTGCTGCTTGGACACTGCCTGGGCCTTTCCTGTCTGTGTTTAGGATACTTATAGGACTAAAGGCCCAGGGCTAATCTCTCTGTTTTAAAGCAATCTGATCAGCAAACTAAATTCTAGCGACCTCCACTCCTCTTTGCCACACAGCACAATGGAGTCACATGTCCTGGGGACAGGATGTGGGTCAGCCAGCCTAAGCCCACACAAGTCAATGAGCTCCAGGTCCAGCCAGTAAGAGACCCTCCCTCAAAAACCAAGGTGGAGAGCCAGCCAGCTCTAAATGTAACCCCCTGGATAAACATGGTTGGAAAAGAGAACTGACCCCGGCAAGTTGTCCTCTGACTCTACATTCAAACCGTGGCACCTATGAGTTTCCTCCCTAACATACACGCACAGAATAAATAAATAAAATAATCCTTAAGAAAATGTTTATCTATTAATTTTTAATTATGTTTATAGATATGTGTGTGTGTGTCAGGATATGCAACAGGTGCAGGAGTTTAAGAAGGCCAGAGGCATCAGATTCTCCGAAGCTGGGCTTACAGGTGGTTTGAGCCATCTGACATGGGTGCTGGAAATTGAACCCAGGTCCTCTGGAAGAGCAGTACATGCTCTAATACACACACACACACACACACACACACACACACACACACACGTTTTTTGAGACAGGGTTTCTCTGTGTAGCTTTGGAGCCTGTCCTGAAACTCATTCTGTAGACCAGGCTGGCCTCGAACTCACAGAGATCCACCTGCCTCTGCTTCCTGAGCGCTGGGATTAAAGGTGTGTGCTACCACTGCCCAGCTATTTTATTGTATTTAAAAGAGTGTGGGGGGGTAGTTCTAATTTTCTTGGCCTTGACAGCACACCCCAATCCTTTATTATTAATATTATTATTTAATGGCAAGGTCTTATGAAGCCCAGACTGGCTTCAAACTCTTTATATAACCAAGGATGACCTTAAACTTTTGACGCTCCTGCTTCCACCTCCAAAGCGTTGGGATTACAGGTGTGTGCCAGCAGACCCAGCCATAGTCCCACTGTTTTCTGACCTCTAGGCCAACTAACTTGTCATAGTTCTGCAAGGCCGTGGATGCCGCCTGGGATGCATCCTAACACACAGAGGAGGTGCTGCTTGAGCGTAGCGTGCTGGGGAAATGAGTCAGGCTGCTACATTGGAAATCTCAGTTGAGCCTCACCTGCTTTCTGAAGAGCCAGGGGGTCCCCTTCTCTGGCTCGCTTAACATCCCAGTTGCCTCTAGACGTGGCTATTATCGTTGAACTCCAGTTTGTAAAATTTCCAGGGAAAGGATTGCTCTCCTCCAGGCCATGTGCTTAAAGGATGTGCTTCTCCCCTCCTTTTCTTTTATCTCCTTCTTTCTGACTGAATGTGACTCTGCAGGGCTGGCCCCTGTTGAACCACACTTTGGGATGGATGAGCAATAAAGTAGAAGGAGATGGCGCTGCCAGCAGCTAAGGACCAATGGCAAAGAGAGACATGTAGTTTTGTTTAACCCGCGTCTGGTTCTCTGTTTCCCAGCCCACACCATTTCCTATTTAACACCCCATGTCACTTTATATCGATTTAACTTTATTTCTTTTTAAAAATTTTAGGGGTTGGGGATTTAGCTCAGGGGTAGAGAGCTCTTGCCTAGCAAGCACAAGGCCCTGGATTCGGTCCTCAGCTCTGGCGAGGCAGGGAAGACAAATAACAAGAATTTATTTGTTTTTATTTTGCGTGCAGTGGTGTTTTATCTGCATGTATATCTGTGTGAGGATGTTTGATTCCCTGAAATGGAGTTATAGACAGTTGTGAGCTTCAGTGTAGGTGCTGGAAATTGAACCTAGGTCCATGTACAAGAGCAGTCATCGCTCCAGCCTCTCGCTTTATTTCTTAAAACGTTGTTTTGGCTGGGCTGTTGCGGCGCATACCTTTAACCCCAGTGCTTGGGAGGCAGATCTTTGTGAGTACAAGAGCTAGTTCCAGGACAGCCAGGGCTATTACACAGAGAAACACTGCCTTGAAAAAAAAATTATTTTATGTTTATGGGTGCTATTGTCTACTTGCATGTCTGTGTACCATGTGAGTGCCAATGCCCATGGAGGCCAGAAGAGGGCATTAGGTCCCCCGGAAGTGGAGTTACAGTTATGAACTACCATGTTGATGCTGGGAACTGAATCTCGGTCCTCTGATAGAACTGTCAGTGCTCTTAAACACTGAGCCATCTCCAGCTTTCTTAAACATTATTTTACATGACCTTTTAGCCCTACGAGACAGGGTCTTGTAGTCAAGGTTGGCCCCCAACTCACAATCCTCCAGCCTCAGCCTCTGCAGTGCTAAGACCATAGGTATATGCTACCATACCCAACTACACAACAATTTTGAAAATTATAAGTAAAATCTGGGTGTGGGTGCACATACCTGTAACACTAGCCTGTGGTGGGTGGAAGCAGGGGGCGTTCAAGGTCACCTTTATCTCTCCAGAGAGTTCCTAGTGAGCCTAGATTACTTGAGACCCTGTCCAAAAAGGAAGGGCTGGATAGCAGCTCAGTAGCTCAGTGGTTAGGGTACTTGCCTTGCAAGGCTGAGGTCTTGAGTTTGATCCCAGAACCCATTCATAAACACAGTGGGGTGGGGAGAGGAGAAGTGGGGGAGGAGAAACTGATTGCAATCTTAGGGCTGGGAGGCAGGAGTAGGTCCTGGGGCTTGCTGTCTGGCTAGCCGAGGCCACTCTGTTCTAGGACAGTGAGAGATCTTGTTTTAAAAAAACAAGCAAACAAAAAAAAAAAACAAAGTAGACAATGCCTGAGGGGTGAAAGATGAGATTATCGTCTGGATTCTAGATGTGCAGATAGCAGGGCACACACACACACACACACACACACACACACACACACACACGTAAAGACGCAAATAAAAAACAAAAAAGAAAGAAAAACACCAGTTATGGTCATAGGTGGCCCAGGGCGGGCAGCCTGTGGTTCCGTGTGGCAATGACTGGTGAGGTGAACTATATACAGAGTTGAATTAAAGCTTGCAGTGGTAGCGCACACCTTTAGTCCCAGCACTCAAAGGGCAGAGGCAGGCGGCTCTCTGTGAGTTCGAGGCCAATCTGGGCTACAAGAGCTAGTTCCAGGACAGTTAGAACTGTTACACAGAGAAACTTTGCCTCGAAAAAACTAACACCCCCCCCAAAAAAAAACCTTACATGTTGACCAGGTGGGGGGCCGAGCACTCAGGAGACAGAGGTAGGTAGAGACCTTTGACTTAGAGGTCAGCCTCATCTACATAGTGAGTTACAGGACACTACAGGGCTACACAGAGAAACCCTGTCTTGAAAACCCAAACCAAACCCACAAATTTAGATGCTGGGGCAGGAGAGGTAGTTCAGTGGTTAGAGCACTAACTAGCGACTCTTGCAGACCTGAGCGCTATCCCCAGCACCTAAGTAGAGGCTCCCAGCTGTTTGTGAACCCAGTTCTGACACCTTCTGAGGGCGCCGCATGCATGCGGCACGCAGACATGCATACAGGCAAACCACCATGCACGTTAAATACAAATAAAATAAAGCTAGAAACAAAAAACCTTGCGGGTTGGATCGGGCTGCCCTGGGTCCGGGTTCTGGTGTACAGTGATGAGCTAGGGTGGGCTGTGGGCTTCCTTTGCTATGGAAGGTCGCAAGCGTGCAAGGGAACATCCTATCTTAGCCATGCTGAAGGGTTTAGTAGCCCACAACCTGGCCTTGCCAACAGGAGCTAGCAGGCCATCTCCCTCTGCTCCACTGTTCCCCTGTCCCTCTGCCTCCCTTCCCCCATTACTTCAGTTGCTACAGTCTGTCCTTTACTTTCACTTTCTACTCTGCTGCCCCTTTAAGCACGACCTGTGCGACTTTAGGGGTTTGTAATACACAGCTGCCTTCCGGAGGCTACCAGGGCTTCATGGGGTCTTTACTTTCCCTCCACTTCCCCCCAAAACCTCCTTTGGCCCCCAACAATCCTCTCCTTTGGGGCCAGCGGCTGCAAGGACATCTCTACAGGCTATTTCAGGCTTCTGTAAACTGCCAGGCTAGCCCTTCAGTGTGCCACCGTACCTTCCTTTAACCTCCCTCTCCTTTCCAGGATGGGGAGCTGGCACCCTGGGCCACTGAGCGAGCCAGGACTGTCCAGCCCTTTGATAAATGGGATCTTCGGGGAAGGCCACCCACGCTTCTCGATGTTTCTCTAGGATCTTATCCTTAGGATTTGCAGTACAGACTTAACATTTTCTTAGAGGAATGTATAGGAAAGAAGAAAAACAGGAAAGGAAATAGGAATTCAAATACCACTTATCCCACAAGGGAGCTGTGACCCAAACTGCGAGCCTCACTGGGAGCCAGGCTTCCTGGGGTGGAGAGCTCAGGCCTGGCTCCTCAGGTCTAGTTCCCCAGGCTTGGGCTCCACCCTGGCTGCGAAGGCCCCAGACCACCTCGCCCCACCCTGAGAACGACCTCTTGCTCTACCACATGAAGGTAACCAGCGTCTGGTGGCTTATGGGACAGGCTTGTCAGGGACTTCCTGCCTTTGATGCATGCAATTCCCATGCTATGTGTGCCGGGCGGGGCCTCTGAAGACGAGAGGACCCTTAGACTTCCTGAGTGTCTCAGTGTTCAGACTCTTGGGGTTTGCGGTTAGAGGCGCTGATACGAACATTGTGTTCCAGAGAGTGTGCCCTCTGGGTTGCAGAAAGCTAACAAAATCAAGCTGACCAAGAGGGTCTGAAAGGCCCTTGAAATTGCTTTTAGCAGCGATTGAATGACAGACTGATGGACACGAGTGGGGGAGGGAGAGGGGGGTATGACCACAGATTCCTTCCGCTGGGCTGTTTCGTCCTTCATACCAGCTCTCTCAAATGCCACGGGAGATTTGGCTAGCACTCACTGTTACCGAGGTCTGAGAAACGGCACTGCCTTGTGGCCTTCTCACAGATGGAAAGACTGAGGCTCAGTGAGGTTCAAGTGACTACCCTAAGAATGCACAGGGGACAAGCTCTCTCTCTCTCTCTCTCTCTCTTTCTCTCTCTCTCTCTGTGTGTGTGTGTGTGTGTGTGTGTGTGTGAGTGAGTGTGTGTGTCAGAGACAGAGACAGAGGCTACATCTTGTGGGAGTCAGCTCTCTCCCCCCACCATGTAGATTCTGGGGACGGGACTCAGGTCACCAGACTTGGTGGCAAGTACCTTTACCGGCTGAGTCATCTTGCTAGTCTGTCCCTCTCTAAATTAGCTAATAACATGGCACTTGGCAGGTTTCTCCACCAGAAAACCTGCTCTGAGAGGAGCACATGTGTGGACATTGCTCAGAATTCCTCCACAGAAGAGTTCTGGCCTCTGCCTTCCGGTTCTTATTTGTTCAGTCTCGTTTGTAGGAACCTGGCGTCCAACCTTGTGCATCCCAAACACTCTACCATTGGATGACAGCCCCAGACCCTCAACCACCTGTTTTCTCAGAATGTATACTGTTGGGAGCTGGAGAGATGGCTCAGTGGTTGAGAGCAGTGGCCGCTCCTGCAGAGGGCCCAGGTTCAGTTCCTAGCAACCACATGGTGGCTCACAACCATCTGTAACTCCAGTTCCAGGGGGTCCAACATTCTCTTCTGGCCCTAGAAGGCACCAGGCACACAGTTGGTGTACGGGCATACAGATAGACAATCACCCATGCATAGAAACTAAAGATAGATAACTCTTTAAGAATGGCATGAGGTGTGAGCTCGTGAGTGCCTGTGCTCTCAGAGACCCTAGAAGCTGGATTCCTGAAGCTGCAGTTACAGGTGCTTGTGAACTGCCCGACGTGTGTGCTGGAAGCAGAACGTGGGTGCTTCTAGGAGAGCAGTCTGTGCCATGTCTCGGGCCCTGGAGCCAAGTATGTGGAGAGGTCACTGGGGTGTTATTGCTCAGCGTGTGCTGGTCCCAGTTGGCTGGGTCTTCGGCGCCTTGCTGCTGGCTCCCGCAGTAGTGGCTTTTGTCTCAGTCAGCCTGGGCATCAGCCAGGACTCCTCTCTGGGTGGCTGTCTTTTTTCCAGGTCTGTCCCCTGAGGATACTTGACCCTCAGGTGGGAGTGAAAGTGACTCTCCTCCCCCACCCTAAAGATGAGAAGGGCCTGGGAACATCCTTTGAGGACCGTCAATGGAGGCTTTTTTCTGTCCTGTCCATTTTGCAGCTGTTTTTAAAATAATCACTCAGAGGTTCATATTAATTATAAATGTTTGACTGATGGCTCAGGCTTATTACTAAGTAGCTCTTACACTTCAATTAACCAACATTTCGTGTTTATGCTCTGGGACGTGGTTCATGTCTTGTAACCTCATTTCCTATCTGTCTTGCTTCCTCAGACGCTGGCTGGCATCTCCCAGACTCTGCCTTTCTTCTCTCGTATTTCTGCTTGGATTCCGTGCCTCCCTCTATCCTGCCTTGCCGAAGCAGCTTTATTTATCAACCAATAAAAACAACACATATTCACAATATACAGAAAGACATCCCACAGCAGAGGACGAACCATAGAAAGTTGGGAGAGGTTGTGGCTGCCCTGGGGTTTGAGGTGGGTTTGCAGCGTGGCAGATGCTTGCTGCTCTCAGCTGGCTGTTTTCCAGGTTGGACGGGTCTCACCTGCCTCTCAGCTGCCATCCCCTGTCGGGGTAGTTGCCCCTGAGGTGAGCATGAGATTTAAGTAGGCCCAGTGACTGGGAGTCTCTGAAGGTAGGCATTATAGACGTTTCCAGTCTGACCACGGTGACACTGTGAAGAACCCAGTGAGGATTGACTGTGCTCTCCTTTTTTGGGGCATAGAGGAGCCAACTCTCCAGGTTTTCCTACAGTGTTCTGACTTGATTTTCAAACTTCAAGTCTCCCTCCTGAGAAAACCATTAGTCCCAGGCAAATAGGGAGCGTCGTTGACGCTCTGAGGGAGAATGTCTCCAGCTTCCGGAAAGTAAAATGTGAACGGTAGGATATATGAGAAGAAACCAGAGTCCCTGGGGGAGCTCAAGGCAGCCAAAAATCGTCGCTCCTTCCCCTACTTTTCTGGGTGTCTCACGAAAGCACCTGCTTTTCTCCCTTGAGACACGGTCTGGACTCCAAATTCAGTATGTAGCCAAGGATGACTTTGAACTCATCTTCCTGCCTCTACCTAGTAAATGCTGGGATTACAGGCGTGCACCACCACGTCTGGCTTATGCGCTGTTGGGGATTTAACCCAGGGCCTCATGTGTGCTAGACGAGCCCTCTACTGACTGGGCTATTTTCACAGGTCTCTAGAAGTGGGCTTCTGTGACCCTAAGATGGATCAGGCAAATAGGGAGTGTCGTTGTGCTGACAATGAAGAAGTAAAGCTGACTTTGATAGGCCTGCTCAGCGACATCTGGAGGATAAAGAGCAGGTGCCTGCTTTGGTTCTAGGGGTCTCTATGGCCACACCCATCTCTGGGCCACTTCCATTGCAAAGGAGCCCCTAATTGCCTGACAAAAGCATCCAGAATATGTAGAGCCAGATACATGGACTGCTGGAAGGATGTCCAAGACCAAACGCTTAGGCAAAACCAAAACAAAACAAAGAACAGACTGAGAAAGCCTTCGCCATTCCTAGCACATGAGCTCTGCTCCGTAAAGAAGCCAGTGAGAAGCCACAGGTGAGAACGACACCTCCTGCAGTCTTTAACCTCTTATCAAGGGGCAGGCTTAAAGATGCCTGCTTTGCTTTCCAGGGAGGGATTAAAGACAGCTGCGGCTTTTATTAGCATGCTTTAAAATGCTCCTAACAACATCCTCGGCTTTGAGCTGCCCACTGCGCTTCATCATAAGCATAAAGCCCAGGGCTTGTCTGTAACTAGATCACTGTGGTTACTCTGGGTGGTTTTTCTGCTCTTCTGGAAATGAATTGATGTCTGAGCGCAGTGTTGGGAGCTCTGTCCTTAAACGGCCAGCTTCTTCTTCATCACGGGTTTCCTGGTATGTGTTTTATGACCTTCCCACCCTTTGGCTAAGGAGCAGAGCTACAGCAGATCCCCTGGAGTAGAGAGCCACTGGGCAGGTGCTAGGAACTGAATCCAGGTCCTTTTCAAGAGCAACAAGTTCTCTTAATGGCTGAGTCAATTCTCTAGCCCCTTGGTTTTGTTGAAGTGAGGAGATACACCCAGTGTGAATGGAACCATCCCCTAGACAGGGATCCGGAACTGTAGGAAAGAGAGAGAGAATTGTGTGTATGCATGCCTGCATTTACCATTTTCTTCCGATTACAGATATGTGACCGGTTTTCTCGAACTCCCTCGGCTCTGACTTCTCTGCTATGGTGGACTCTAACCCGGAGCTATGAGCTAAAAAGAACCCTTTCTCTCCTAAGTCACTTTTATCCGGTGTTTTACCATACCGGCAGGCAATGAAACAAAGATACCAGAAGAGTATGGTACCACATGCTTGGTGCTCGCAACATTTCAGAGCCCAAGGCAAGGGGATCCATGGTTCAGAATAAGAACCTGTCTCAAAGCACACAGCTGAACAAAGAGAAGATAGGTTTCCAAAGGGACCTTCAGGCAATGGCTTTGTAGGTTGTCTCTGGTCTCAAGAAAGACAGCGTTGGTGAGGTGACTTGCCTCAGAGCTTCCTGTCTGCCTTTGACCGTCCTTAGACCTCAATCTCAGGTGTGCTTTCTTGCAGAACTGTTTCTTAAAGCTGTGGTCCATGCCGCACCAAATTCGACTGGCCTGTCAGGGGGCACACTTTCCACTCTGGGAGAGGCAGGCACAGAAGCAGGCCAGTGGTACCACCCACCTCTCCCACTCAGCCCCATTCAGCCGCCAGTCACCCCAGCTGGGAACCCCAGAGGAGGAAACACCTGCTCGCCCTGACTTGAAGCTGCCGTTTGCCATCCAAATGAGTCATGAAGGCACTGTGGAGAGGATTTTACTCATCCCCCAGGAATGGACTCTTGGAAGACTCCAGAATGACTAGCTTCAAGTGTTCTGTCTCAGGCGCAGGGCATTTTATCCCTCTCTATGTCTGCAGTCACTTCCCTTCTGGATACTTCCTGTTTCTGGGAGCAGGCAGCGCGCCAGGCAGAGCTCAGCCTCTGAGCAGACGGGCAGAGACACCCTTCCTCTTATTCCTAGTATTGGATCCCATCTTCCTTCCCTGCCAGAGATAGCCATCACAGTTCTGTGCTTTTCCCAGGTCCCTGCATGCCAGCAGGGCAGAGAACACAGAGGAACGTATTTCCATCTGCAGCTCTGACCTTTGGCAGGTGCTTAGCAACCGTTATCGATCATTGGCTTCTTGGGCACGGGTAATCAGGGCAAGATCTGGGGCAAGGGTCCATTCATTCATTGATTTAATAAATATTTACTGAATGCCTACTATGTGCCAAGCCCTAGTCAAGATGCTGGGCTATGCAAATAAAGCCTTGACATCTATGTCCTCACAGCAATTACGTCCACTGGGAGGGACAATGGGCAACCTAGGTACAAATGTGAACCATTAGCGCAGCAAGATAGTGGTGAAGAGAGAAAACAAAACCGGGAAAGCAGCTGGGTAAGCAAATATGAATTCTGGGTCCAGGAAAAGTATAAATTATTAAATGCTAAAGGGAATTTTGAGCAGACATTCGGGGGTGGGTAGGGGAGGCCAAGAGCCTTCTGGGTAAAGGGAAGAGTAGATGCGAAGGTCTTGAGGTTGGAAATGTTCGTGTGTGGACAGGGTGATGACCAAGGGGAAGGACAGTGAGTTGGAGTAGAGCTGACTGAAGAGGGGAGAGTTGCAGGAACTCAAACCAGAGCTTTCTACACAGGAGTATAGACCTGGGCTTTTACTCCACATGACACAGGAGGCCATTGGCTCTTCATAGGGAAGGACAGGATTTGTGTCTTTAAGGGAATTCTGGGGAGCTAGAGGGACAGTTACCTGAAGAGGGGATGTGGAGAAAACCGGGAGACCACTTAGGAGGAGACGCTAGTGTCTAGGGAGAGATGGGGACTTGGGCAGACAGCGGTAACTGGGGTGACAGGCAGCAGACTGGAGGGTAACAGGATGTGCTGATAGGAGGACACGTGGGATGTGTGAAAACACAAGGGTAAAGAGGACACCACTGTGTCTGGCCAGCTGTGGTGGCACACGCCTGGAATCTTCCTGGAATCTTAGCACTTGGGAGGCTGAGGCAGGGGGATCATGAGGTTGAAGCCATTCTCAGCTCCATAGCGAGCTCCAGACCAGTTTAAGCTACGTAGTGAGGCTCTGTCCCCCAAAACAATAAATGAGGGCAAGTGAGATGGCTCAGTGGATAAAATGGCTTCTTGCCAAGCCTGGTGATCTGAATTTGATCCCCAGGACCCAAATGGTGGAGGAGAGAACCAATTTCCCAAAGTTAATTTCCTGACCTCCACACTCTTACCGAATTCCTACAAATATATAGCATATATATATGTATATATATTAAAATATAGCAAAAATATATAAACAAATATAACAAATTTTTTAAAAAAGCAATCAACAACTAAAATTATATAACAATAAAAAGAGAACTGGAAATGTAGTTCAGTGGTAGAGCGTTTACCTACCACATGTGAGTGCGTGGGTTCATGGCCCAGTCCTACAAACAACAAGAACACTGTAAACTAGTGACCACCTCTCCACCGCTAGAACAAAATGCGTGAAGTTGAGGCCTGGGGTTTCAGCACAGTGCGTGGAATGGTAGCCGAGCACACACAGAGTTCTGCATACACGGGGTGTGGTGGTGCACACCTGTAACCCCAGGACTTGAGATGTAGAGACTGGAGGATCAGAAATTAAGGGTTATCCTCAGCTACATTACGAGTTTGAGGCCAGACTATACTACATGAAACTTGGTCTCAAAAAACCAAGTCAAATCTGAAAGTCAGTTGGAGAACACCCAGCCGGTGTGGCTGTGGAATGACCTGACCCACCCACAGCTCTATATTTTGGAATGCTCTTTAGTTCATTCATGCAGACGAAGGAGCTCCCTTTTCTTCTTCTTCTTCTTCTTCTTCTTCTTCTTCTTCTTCTTCTCCTTCTCCTTCTCCTTCTCCTTCTCCTTCTCCTTCTCCTTCTCCTTCTCCTTCTCCTTCTCCTTCTCCTTCTCCCTCTCCCTCTCCCTCTCCCTCTCCCTCTCCCTCTCCCTCTTCCTCTTCTTCTCCTTCTTTTTTTGAGACAGGTTTTTTCTGTATCTTTGGAGCCTGTATTGGAACTAGCTCTTATAGACCAGGCTGGCCTCAAACTCACAGAGATTACCTGCCTCTGCCTCCCGAGTGCTGGAATTAAAAGCCTGCATCACCACCACCTGGCTTGGAGCTCCTTTTCTGTAGCAGCTGGACTTCACATGTAGGAACAAGATGGAGTCAGGAGTGATACTGGGTGAGCACTTAAGATAGGGCTTCAGAACTAAGGAAAAATGGAGTTAGTGTTGAGGACCAAGGAGGCCACATCATCAGTTTTTAGAGGAAATAGCTGCCCAGATAGATACCTACCTGGGATTCTGGAAGTCTGACCCTGATCCTGTTTACACGGTGGGCCATTACTGTTCCAGTTAAAAGCTGTGGTGTGGCCGGGCGCGGTGTGGCCGGGCGCGGTGGCGCACGCCTGTAGTCCCAACTACTCCGGAGGCTGAGACAGGAGGATCGCTTGAGTCCAGGAGTTCTGGGCTTTAGTGCGCTATGCCGATCGGGTGTCCGCACTAAGTTCGGCATCAATATGGTGACCTCCTGGGAGCGGGGGACCACCAGGTTGCCTAAGGAGGGGTGAACCGGCCCAGGTCGGAAATGGAGCAGGTCAAAACTCCCGTGCTGATCAGTAGTGGGATCGCGCCTGTGAATAGCCACTGCACTCCAGCCTGGCCAACATAGCGAGACCCCGTCTCTAAAAAAAAAAACAAACAAAAAAACAAAAAAAACCCCTGTGGTGTGTGTGTGTGAGTGTGTATGTGTGTATGTGTGAATGAGTGTGTGTAAATGAGTGTGTGTGAGAGTGTGTATTGTGTGTGTGAGTGTGTGTATGTGAGAGTGTGTGTGTGAGAGTATAAGTGTGTATGTGTGTGAGTGTGTGTGTGTGAGTGTGTGAGAAATAGAGTGTGTATGTGTGTGTGAGTGTGTATGTGTGATGTTGGAGGTGGAGCTACCTTCATAGCCATGTCTCTGGTTTTGGGGACAGTGACAGGAGCATTTGGGCCACGCCTGTCTGAGGGTCACTTGCAGCTGTGCCCTGAAGGGTTTCTTGACTGGCAATGACCCTGCTCCAGCCTGCTGTGCTTTTTATTCCAGCTGTTCACATACCTTCTTAAACAATGATCAGCTCTGTGGCAGCCTCAAGAGTAGAATCCAGAGATGTAGAACAGAGTGGCCCTTGTTCCGTTTGGAGAAAAGAGGCAAGGACACTTTTAGGTGTCTGAGCCCGAGCGCACACACAGTGAGTCAGTCCTGTCTCCCACAAGAGGAGTCGCCTGTCCTGTCCACAAGTGACAGACTTCTCTTCAATCACGACCCCGCCTAGGCTTTCTGGCCCTTTCCCTTTGCAGCTCTGTGGTGGCTGTTGCCATTCCTCCACCGCTTGTTCCCTCCCAAAACATGCTGGAATTTTCCAACCATGAGATCTTTTTCTTTGTGCCCCCACCCCCAATATTTGTGGGTTTACAAGCTTTTATTTCTCGCCTATCATTTTCATAAAGTCTCCTGAGGCAGTCAAGAAAAACACACGCGAGCAAGATGCTGTTATTAAAAAGCAAAAATTTGGAAATTATGCTGATGTCACCACTTCACGGAGAAGCTGGGGAGGGGGGAAGGTGGGAGGAATCAGTCATCTCACATTCCAGAAAAATCGCTCTGCCTTCTGGGGTATGGCCATGTGACTCTCCTTGTGCGTGTTTGCCGAATGTAGTCATAGTCTTGGTTTGCGTGAAGTTCAGATCCTTCCTGTTTCACTTGGCAAATTTCACTGAAAGTCTTTCCTCCCATGTTTTGACAAATTCTTTAAATAATTTTTTTAGATTTATTTGTTTTACATGAATGAGTATTTTGCCTACATGTATGTATGTGTGTTATGTGCATATCTGTTGATGGAGGAGGTGAGATCCCTTGAAACTGGAGTTATAGATGGTTAGGAACCATACCATGTGGGTGCTAGGAACTGAACCTCGTTCCTCTGCAAGAGCAGCCAGTGCTGTTTGGTTTTGTTTTTTTTGTTTGTTGTTGTTGTTTTTATATTTTTCAAGACAGGGTTTCTCTGTAGCTTTGGAGCCTGTCCTGGAACTAGCTCTTGGAGACCAGGCTGGCCTCGAACTCACAGAGATCCACCGGCCTCTGCCTCTCTAGTGCTGGGATTAAAGACGTGTGCCACCACTGCACTGCCTGGCAGCCAGTGCTTTTAACAGCTGAACCACCTCTCCAGCCCTGACATATTCTTCATAACTATAACTTGAAAATTGTTATTGCATTTCTTTATTTGCAGTGTGTGCCCGTGTGGAGGTCAGAGAATAACTCGCAGATGTGGGTTCTCTCTTCCTCTAACTCAGGTCCTAAGGTTTGGCCACAAGCACCTTTATCAGTTGAATCATCTAGACTAGACTGGTCCTCTAGCCTTAGCTTTTAATGTGTAATATCCATCAAGGGAAAACACAAGAATAGACTTTAACCAGAATTGTACAGTTGGCCTCTCTTACCGAATAGTCGAAATGTTCCTGGTATTGGCTCCTCAGCGCAGTGCGCAAGGGGAGGGAAACAGAATGACTGCATTCAGTGTGCTTTGCTTTTTGTAAAGAAATAGCATTTGAAAGTTGACAGTGGAATTTAACAGATGATAAGTTAATGGAAAATATTGATAATTTTACAAAATAGTGTGAGACGATCTGGGGAAAAACTCAAATTCTTATCTTTGGCATGAATTCCAAATGAATTGGATGTCAAAAGAGAGAAAAGAAAAAGGGAGCCTATAAAAACACTTAAAAATTCATCAGAGGATATTTTATTATTTAGTAAATGGAAATTTCATCCCAGTGTGTAACTAAGGCTAGCATCCATAAAATAAAAATGGATAAATAATGATTACGTTAGAATATAATTTCTTTATGGTGGAAATCACTGTAAATGAAGTCAGAAAACAATCTGGGGAAATGAGTCTTCAATTCTGAAAACAGAACGGAGCCGTTTCACTAATGTACACAAGGCTGCTGCTATAAATTGATAAGGAATCAAGCCAATCACTTAGTGGGAAATGGCGGACGATATCAGACCGGCCCTGAAAGGAAACACAGACCACTATAAGATATGAGAAGTGCTCACCACTGTTGTAATAAGGGGCATTCATATGAAAACCACTGACCAGTGTTAGCCATTATATTATATTAGCCTGATTGACAACACTCAAAAAGCGCTTTAAAGCTATAATTCCAGTCCCTGGGAGGCAGAAGCAGAAGGATTGCCCTGTGTCAAACCAGGCAGGACTACCTAGTGAGACCCTGTGTCAGAAACCAAAAACAAATTCATAGAAAACGGTTTAGCTTTAGTGGTAAGAGCCTGGACGTGGGTCTA